CACCTGTTTAATTAATAATTTATACTCACTGGAATTTGAATTCTTGTTAATTAGGATTTTGTTATCTAAAATTTAGCTTTACTCCTATGACTTTCATTGGGGTGTATTTATTTTTGCAACATTGTCTTGAATGAATTTATTAGGAAAAATACTTTTTTTTTTGTGTGTGCAAATTAACAAATTTTGGTTGCAATCAATGGCCTGTATTTTGTAGTATAGTGTCCCAAAGAAAATGTTGATTCTGAAAGTAAAGGAAAGGTTTTCTGACAAATCTGTTGGGGTGTACTCATTTATGCTGAGCAATATAGATAATTGGAGGCGTTTTAACCCCTTCGTGACGGGAGACGTACACTGTACGTCCGGGCACTTTGTGCCTATATGACTGGCCGCGTACACTGTACGTGACAAGTTATATCAGGCTCTGTAATGCCGGTAACTGCGGATTCTCAGTGGTTACCAGTCAATTAATGAATGCCTCAGTAGTCAGTTATTCATTGATGAAATAGTTAAGCTTTTGTAAAAGCTTATTTCTTTCATTAATGAAAGAATGAAGCCGTTACATGCAAATACGGGAGCGCTAAATAGCGCTCCGGTATTTGACAGCTGAAAATAGCAGAGAGGCAGCAGAGTGACTCACCTCCCTGCTATTTGTTTTGACAGCTCCATAGACTGGCCCAATGTTTATGAAACTATGTGATACATCTCAAGCAAAGAGATACAAGAGATACAATGTATCTCTTTGCTTGAAATTTATCATTTCTGATTGTCTAGGCACGATCAAAGAGCTTTAGTGAGATCTGAATCTGACATGCTGTCAGGATCAGTCTCTAAGGTTATTATTAGCTGTTCCTAAGTTTGGAGCAGCCTAATAATAGCCAAAAATTAAAAAAAAGTTAATTTATCAAGCAGTCATAGTGACTGCTTGATATAAACTGACACAAAAAAGTTTGTTTTTTTTTACTTTTTTTTTTAAAGTATAAAAAAATAAATAAAGTGTAAAACAAAATTAGGAAAATAAAAATTATATATAAATATATTTTTATACTATAATTATAAAAAATTTAAAAAATAATAATCAAAACTTGTGAAAAAGTGTTTTCTTCCTAATTTTTTATATTTGATTCAAACTAAGTGAGGCGTTAGGTACATGTTTGATATAATTATATAGCCCTATTTGTCCTCTAAAAAACAATATATAATATGTGTGGGTACATTTAGTAAGAAAGTATATTACTGACGTGGAAGAATCACACAGCAAAAATGTAAAAAGCGTGTCAGTCATTTATGAACAGAAACTGAAAACTAGCTCAGTCATGAAGGGGTTAATCTTTGCATAGCCTATTTTTCTTTGCCTCTCCAGTCTTCTCGCAGTGGCCATTTTTACTTAGGGCAAAATAATATATCTCTTTACTTCCTGAAAGTCTGGCACATATGACTAGGACATGTGACTGCTCATCACCTCAGGGTACAAAATACCTTTTTCCTGAGATCTCATGAGATTACAAATGGCATTTCCCAGCAATGAACTGCTGATGTAACCTTCCCAGGATGCAGCACTTGGGCACAGTGCATCACTAATGCCCAAGATGACCAGGCAGTGGAAAATCAATAATAAGTAAAATAAAAATGGGTTTGTTTAACTAATGGATGCAAGATGATTTTATATCAGCATGCAGAGATGCATGCTGATGTGATCTTTAGTGAAAAGGTGAAAAGGGGATAAAGGTCCACTTTAAATCAACACTTAAATCCATCAGTTTTCTACAATTGATAAATACGATAAAAATATGATACTGTCCTATAATATTTTTATTGTATTCATTGTTTTAAAATTCAACACTTGACATTTTAGTCTTTTTAATATGTGATGCCCTAAACCTGTTTTTCACTTTTAAACTTTTTATAAATGTTTAAGATTTTTGGTGACGGTCACCGGGGGTCTCTTCTTCCTGTCTGGGCTGTGATTTGTAGTCTCTCTACAGCTTGGAGTCAGTGGTGGAGCGCCAGGGCCCAATTGCAACTGCGACCCTGGTAGGTCTGCCACTTATTCCAAGCTGTAGAGAGACTAGAAATCTAAGCAATACATTATACAGCAATACAGAATACCGCCAACTATAGAGGAGTACAAATCTCAAGTAATACATTACACAGAAATTCAGAATATCAACAGCTATAGAGGACTACAAATCCCAGCAATAAATTATACAGTAATGCAGAATATTACCACTAACTATAAAAGGACTACAAATCCCAGTAATGCATTAGAGAGCAATGCAGAATACCACCAGCTATAGAGGACTTCAAACCCCAGCAATACATTGTAAAGAAATGAAGAATAATACTGTCACCTTTAGAGGATTACAAATCCCAGCAATACTTTATACAGTAATGCAGAATAATATGAAGCTACATACTCTGTGTTGCTCCGGGTTCCCAGGCCTGATGTTTCCAGGGTCTCAGCAGAGCTGTGTGGGGTTTAGAGGGGCTGTTCAGGTTGTTAGGTGGCCACTGCAATCTCTCAGGTGGTCTCCAGGCGGTCAGCGCGGGCTCTCAGGCGGTCAGTGCGGGCTCTCAGGTGGTCAGTATGGTCTGTCAGGTGGTCAGTATGGGCTCCAGGTGGTCAGTATGGGCTCCAGGCGGTCAGTGGGGGCTCTCAGGCGGTCAGTGTGGACTCCCAGGCAGTCAGTGAGGGCTCCAGGTGGTCAGTATGGGCTCCAGGTGGTCAGTGCAAGCTACAGGTGGTCAGTGAGGGATCCAGGTGTTCAGTGAGTGATCCAGGTGGCCAGCGAGGGCTCCAGGGGGTCAGCATGGACTCCATGTGGTCAGTGCGGGCTCCAGGGGGGTCAGTGCGGGCTCCAGGGGGGTCAGTGCGGGCTCCAGGGGGGTCAGTGCAGGCTCCAGGGCATCAGTGCAGGCTCCAGGTGGTCAGTGAGAGCTCCAAGCAGTCAGTGCGGGCTCCAGGTGGGGTCAATGGGGGCTCCAGGGGGGGTCAGAGAGACTGGCGACTGCAACTGTAGCAGATGCGGCTCTCTGCAGAGGGCCCTCTGATATGCCTGAATAGAGGGCAACGGCTGCATGGTGAGTTCGGCCTGGCTGCGATCCGGGTCAACTCGGCCTGGCCGCGATCCTTCACAATAGCCCGTACAGCAACCGAACAGCTCAGCCGAGCTGAATGCATATGCTTTGGTCCAGCGGTCCCCCTCCTGATCCATACCAGACAACCTGTTGGTTGTGGGGATCTGCCGGCAGGGGGGCTTATGTGCATCAGGGTACCCCTTTAATTAAGGGGCACCCAGATGCTGCCCCCCCCTTGTGAATGAGTAAGGGGTACTTGTACCCCTACTCATTCACTAAAGCGTTAAAAGTGTATATAAACAGACCACACTTGAAAAAAATAAATAAATAAAATTGATCCAATGAAGTAATCCACGTCAACCATGGCGTTCAGCGTTGTCAACGCTGCAGCCGACTCGCCGAAATCCAAAAAAGCCAAAACACCCACCGACCTGTCCGCACCCACCAAACACACTCCACAAAATGACAGCTGCCTAAACAACTAGGCATAGCTAGTGATTACATCACGGCCGCCTCCGCCCATTTGTTGTCATACATTTGTAGTACACCATTTGTAGTAATCCTCAGGACATTTGAGGTCATTGGGACCTCAGAAGACCCATATGACATGTGCTGGCCAAATCAAAAGAAATAGGCGGAGCAAGCGGTGATGTTACCACTAGCTCCGCCTAGTTGTCTACATTCGGATGGCAGCTATCATTTTGCGACGTGTTCGGCGGGTGTGGGCGTTGGGCTTTTTTTTTCAGCGAGTCGGTGGCGACGTTGACAACGCTGGGTGCCATGATTGACATGGATTACTTCGTTGGATCCATTTTTTTAATTTTTGTGTTTTTTTTTCAATTAAAGGAATTGTCACAAACGTTTGGAGTGCTTTTTGTTTTTCAATTAAAGGACCCCTGGAAAAGCACCCTCCCAGTGCCGATGGCATGCAGCCTGGTATGGCATGGGGGCGCTCTCGCTCACCCCCTTCCTTCCCTTCTAGGCCTGTGCTTGGAGTAAGGGTCTGGTTGTGAATTTTAGGGGGGACCCCATGTTTTTTTTCTGCCAATTTTTTAGGGGTAGGGTTCATTAAAATTCCTACCAGACCTAAAGGCCCTAGTATGACTTTTGGAGGAAAACCCAAACACTTTGTTTTTTATTTTTAACTCGGGGGGGGGGGGGGGGGCCCAACAACTTTTTTGGGGGGTTTACATTTGTGGGGAGAATGGTTTGCTTCGGCAGATTGTTCTCCCTGCTTCGGCTGTGACTTCGGCTCAGCAGAACCGAAGTATATGCGTTCGGCTGCTATACAGGCTATTGCAAATAGCCAGTACAGCAGCCTTTGGTTCGGCTAGATCGAAGGTCTTTGGCTGCCGAAGTGAGCTGAAGGATTAGCCGGGGTTCTCCACTCCTCCAGAGTGGAGAACTGCAAAGTACAAATAGTTTACATGTACAGAAAGTTAGAAATAAAAAAATCCTGTTGAAGTAGTTAGTGTACAGAAATGCAATGTTAGACAAAGGTAAAGCGGTTTAGCCAATAATAAGTATGTGAAAGATAAAATGGCACATAATTACAGCCAAGGCAGAACATGAATGCTTTCATATTGCAAATACAATTATTCCTATCCAAAACAACAAGGTAATTAGCAAGTGAACATTTCAAATAGTTGTCAGGCTATACGTAGGCGTTTTCCACATATAAAAGAGAGAGCTTTGACTGAGTGAAACTTTTATCTATCATTTCTATCTTCATTAACTTCACATAATGAAACTGCTAAAATTGTTGAACAAGGTGGCTGATAACTTCTATTCCACTGTTGGATAAAATATTTCTTTGCATCACTGAAAGATTTGATCGTATTAATTTCCTGGACAGCATTAGAAACACTATTCAATCTCTGCATATTTTAAAACTTTGAAATCATGCTTCATTTACATCTACTGACCTGCAGCACTGCTGAAGAGGAGCCAATATAGAAAGGTCATCATATGAATGACGTCCAAACCTACAAGTGAAATATGTTACATGTAGTATTGCCTTATGTTTTTTGCCAGTCATACAGTTTTTTCAGTAGCTTAACTATAGCTATAGCAGATCGCACTGCTGCTATGGGGTCCAGGAGCAGTATGGGTTTCTGACTGGCTAATAATTCTGGATGCACTCCATTTGAAGTTCTGTTGTTGACTCTGCCTGCTTTGACTTCTATTCTCTTGCCTGCCACCTGTACTGACCTTTCCTGATCTTGGACCCTGTCTCTTCAGTATGGTTTATTACAATGGGTTTGTCTGTTCTTAACTCTGACCCAACTATGTCCCTGCCTATACCTCTGGTTATGTTTTTACAAGTCTGCTTCCTGACAGGACATTATATGCTGTACAAAACGTTGGCCTCGTAGGCTATTTTAGCAATTGACAATTTACCACACTTTGAAAAAAGACCCATGGTTTTTATCGCTCAGATGTGTACAAGTCCTTATTTTTTACACGGGCTGCAAAGTGCCTAAGCTTTTACTTTCTTTAAAATTTGCTTTACCTGTAATGTTGGCTTCATCTTTCAAATAGAAAGACATATGACCCTAAAGTAAATACATTTAATGTTTGGCTTTCCGGCGAGGGATTGCTACTTGTAGGGTTCAGTGAAGTCTACAAGAACTGAATGGTAGGTCAGCTCTGGTCAGCTGTTTGAATGAGCTCAAACTTGTAGCTGATGTCCTTTCTCTTTCAAGAAGAAGAGCTAGTAGACAAAGTCTTCAAAGTGGATCTAAAGGCACCAGCATCACATTAGGTATTCAGAACACATATTGTGACGTAAATTAAAAGGCTTTGTTCTTATAGTCCAAAATATTTTCTTACTTTTAAAAACACTGCAAATCCCGGCTTCTTGTGAGTAGCAGCTTGTGCTGTTTGTTTTTGCTTCTGGGTCATATCCCACAACGCTTTGCGTCACGTCAGGGCTTGTTCACACCATATACAGTGCATTCCAGTGTGGCTAGCTGGTGGAACATACTGTATCGCATAGTAAACTCCCCCTATGTTCAGTGGTGGGAGGGGACGTGGTGGTGCATTGACGTCAAAGGCACCGTATCCAGGCCCCCTGCCCTCAGTGTGATCGCCCGCACTTGAATGCGGGCACAACAATGCCTGCATTCTGGTCCAGTGCGATCTGAAAAAATGCTGCAAGTACTATTTTTTCAGATTGCACTGGACCGGGAACGCAGGCACCGAGGGCAGTGGAGCAATGCTGTTGTGCCATTGACTTCAATGCACCGCCACACCCCCTCTGGCCTAGATTGCAGGAGATTACTATGTGATACAGTGCGTTCCAGCAGCTAACCATGCTGGAACGCAGTGTATATTGTGTGAAGAAGTACTCGGGCTGTAGGAGAGGCTGGCAAAGTAGACAGGTGGGAGGGGATGTTGGCAGGACATTAGGAAGAAGTGAAAAAAACAAGGTAATAGTTTCTGAGCACAGTGCTCCTGCATGTGTGACTACAAGGAGAGATATTAGAAAGGCAAAATGAAAAGTGGACAAAGGCATACAAGAAATGCATTTACATGTGGTTCTCAAAATCTATTCAAAAGGTATTTATGGGGGCTAAATGGAGATAAAAACGTAAATATACAGGGTGAGAGATATTAAAATTAGTGATGGGCTTGATGATCGAGTCGACCAAGAGTTCGACTCGAACATCGCTAGTTCATGTGTTCGGTGAACTGTCACGGCCTTGTGAAGCCCTGATTGGGTAAAGTGGTCAGGTGCAAGACTTTGCCCAATCACGACACAGTTCACTGAAGAGCCATGATTGGGCAAGATGAGTTTGCCCAATCATGGCTCACCTGTCAGGTGCCGTACAAATGTAAGAAGTTGGGCAGAGCTAGCTAGCTGTCACCGCTGTCACTGTCATCGCTAGCTCCACCCAATTGTTTATATTTTGCCAGCATCTGTCAGAATGTTCTTCGCGAGTGGACGGCTTGGCGGGCGTCGTTTTTGAAAAATGTTTTATAAATATTTCTATTTTTATTTTTTCTTGTTTTATTTTTTATTTCGTCGAGTCATCGTCGTCGTTGGACAATGCTGGACATTGTGAACCTAGATGACGTCGGTGGATCCATTTTTTGGGTTTATATTTTTCTTAACGATAAAGGAATCGTCAAAATCCTTTGTTGTGCTTTTATTTCAATTAAAGGATTTTTTAATAAAAGTCTGGATTTTTTTATTTCAATTTATTTTAACACTTTAGTGAATGGGTAGGGGTACAAGTACCCCTTACTAATTCAAAAGGGGGGGCACATCTGGATGCCCCTTTATTAAGGCCCCGTTCACATATAGCGACATACCTTTTGCAGCGGATCCGCACGGCCGGGATAGCGCGACTTTCGGGGCGACGTTCCAGCGACGATCCAGCGACGGTAGCGCGACCTTCCCCGTCGGGCTCCATAGAAAAAAAGCAAAATCGCGCAAAATCCGCCGAAAAAAGGGTCCGGTAGAAGCGACTTGCGACCGCGACGAGCGACATGGAGTTAAGACAGCTCCATTGAATAACATTGGCCGGCGACTTCTCGCGATATCGCGCGGCAAAAATGCGCGATATCGCGGCGGAAATCGCGCGATAATTCGCTATATGTGAACGGGGCCTAAAGGGGTACCCTGATATGACTAAGTCCCCTGCCCGCACCCCCACAACCAACGCCCCAGGGCTTGTGGGGAAGAGGCCCTTGTCCCTATCGGCAGGGGGACAAAGTGCTTTTCCAGGGGTATCCCTGGAAAAGCACCCTCCCAGTGCCGAGGGCATGTGACCTGGTATGGCAGGGAGGGGGGGCCGCTCGCTCATCCCCTTTCCTGCCTTGCCAGGCCTGTGCTCAGATCAAGGGTCTGGTTGGGAATTGTAGGGGGGACCCCACGTCTTTTTTCCCCATTTTTGGGGGTGGGGTTCCTCCTTTAAATTCCTACCAGACCTTAAGGGCCTGGTATGACTTTGAGGGGGAACCCCACGCACTTTTTTTTTTAAAATTGTAAATTAGAGGTGCACCGAAATTAAAATTTAAAAACCAAAACAAAACTGAAATGAAAATAAAATGTCAGGCCGAAACCAAAAATGTTTTTTATTCTATCTTTTTCACATTTTTAAATTTTTTTATAAACTTTTTATTTTTTTATATTTCATTTTTTTAAAATATTTTTTACTTTACTTTTAGGGGCTTCAGGGAAATTGTAGTGGTTCTTTCTCTCCTCCCCGCTGGGCGCTGCTCTGTGTCCCAGCGGGTAAGAGATAAACTGTCACAGGAGGCCGAGCAGTGCGGGAGGAGAGGAGAGCACTTGTAGTGGCCGGCGTCTCTGCTCCCCACACTGCTCAGCTTCCTGTCACAGATCAGGAAAGCGGCGGTGTGCGTGGAGACAGCTGTCATTGCTGTCACAGGAGGCTGAGCTCTATTCCCGCACCGCCCCACCCAGCTGTGACAGCGTGTCAGGGTACAAACACTCAGTGATCAGTGATCGCTGAGTGTTTGTAAATGATTGTGGATATAGTAAACATACTATGTCCACAAGTTATGAATGAACAGGAACACTCAGTATAGAGGATTCCTGTTCATTTATAACAGGGGCTGAAGAAAAAGAGATTGAGGACTCTGTCCTCAATCTCTTTTTCTATTTTAAAAGGGAAATATCAGGAAGCTGAGCGGTGTGGGGAGCAGAGACGCCGGCCACTACAAGCGTTCTCCTCCCGCACCGCTCGGCCTCCTGTGACAGTTTATCTCTTACCCGCTGGGACACAGAGCAGCGCCCAGCGGGGAGGAGAGAAAGAACAGATGTACCGCTATTTCGGCCACAAAATGAAACTTTCTGCATAGTGCCATATTGGCCGATATGTTTCGGCGGGTGATAAATCGGTGCATCCCTAGTAACTTGTGGTCCCTCCTAAAATTCCTAACAGACCTAGGAGGGTCTTGAATGATTTTTGGGGGAAACCCCACACTTTTTTTTTTTTTAAATGGGGTCCCTCCTAACTTTCCTGCCAGACCAAAAGGGTCTGGTGTTGTTTGGGAGGGGGAACATGCTTTTTTTTTTTCTCTTTATAAATGTCATTTCTTTTCCTGATAAATTTCACTTTTTGGTGCAGCAGGTTCTATACATCGTACAGATGTGTCACTTTACAGGCAGGTAGACCCCCTAGGCACGATATTTAATTTTTTTTTTCACTTTAAGCAATGTTAAAATCACTGCTCCATTAAAAACTGTATTTTTTTAAAGTGTTTTTTTCATTGATACATGTCCCCCAGGGCAGTAGCAGAATCCCCATACCCTTTTTATGGCCAATAAATTGCATATAAGCTTTCAAAATGGGGACATTTGATTTTCAGAGTTCTGGTCCACAGACTTTAATTGAGTTCAAAGTTTGAGTTAGAACTTTTTCCATGTTCGAAAGTTCGAACTCGGGTGTTTTCAGCCCATCACTTATTAAAATGGAATGCTGAAGAAAATATGTAACATTTTTGTTTTATGACTTTAGTGACACTCTAAACCAGGGGTAGCCAAACTCTGGCCCTCCAGCTGTGGCCAAACTGCAAATCCCATGATGCATCTCTCTCCGGGAGTCATGTTTGTGGCTGTGAGAATATTGCAATGTCTCATGGGATTTGTAGTTCCAACGCAGCTGGAGGCCCGGAGTTTGGCTACCTCTACTCTAAACAGAATGCTTTGGGGAGATGCCTTGCATTAGAGTAGCTTTCAAACTGCTTCTGAGCTGCTTTTTTGAGATGGATCCAGCACTGGATCACCTAATGTTCATGTTTTGTCTAAGGCCTCGAAAATACTACAGCCATCACTGGGCCTGCTATATTTTCATATAGGAGGCAGAGAACCGCTGGATATCACAAGACTTCTCTGTAGCAAGCTTCTTTTATTGCTGCAAGGTTGTATATTGGTTGTAACAAGGCTTGTGTGTCGGTTGTAGTACTCCTGTGACCCGATAGGGCTGTGCATACAGCACGGATCTGTACGGGCTGCCTGTTTCTTGTGTGAATGAGGGCTTAAGATTGATGATCACTTTCTGAAGCTTCTACGTGTCACACTTTTTTGGAATCTTTTCACAATGACTATATTTTTTTTCTTACACTGGATTTGATGTTATATGGACTTGGTTGTTTTGTTTAGCACTTGTTATATGACATTTGGATACCCAGAGCTTAGCATGTGACTCTGAGGTTACATACACTGATATAGCCCTAATACATACTTCAGTCAACCTTTCCTTTACATTAGAACCCTCCTTTCAGTTATTTACTCCCTTCTAATAATTTAACCTAGCTTTCTTCAACTTGTTTCTCCTCTCTTGCCATACTCTACCCCTAACCGATTTTCTCTAAATCCACAATGGCCTTTCTGTTCCAAACCTTCCAATTGATTGCCCTCTTACTGCTGCATATGTCCACTGTCAACTTTATTACCTTATTAACAATAATTATGAATTAGCATATTATAAAAACCTAGCCTATTTACTTACCCTCTCCCATTGTCCAAATGCAGAAGGAACGTCTGATTTCCAAACTTCTCAAATGTCTCATAATGGTGTCGGTCTTGGTTGCCTTTTGTGGAAGAGAATACATATTAACTCAGGAGAAAGAGGATCTGTTTGGGTGTAGTCGTATTCACTTAAAGTGACATTAAACAATTTTTTTCCCTCCACTCCAATGTTAGTGTACGGACTTACCTTAACCAGTTGACATCCGCGGTGTTAAACCCCCTTCCCATCCAGGCCATTTTTCAGTATTCAGCGCTGCGGTACTTTTACTGACATTTATTCCGTCATGCAACACTGTACTGAAATGAATTTTATACCCTTTTTTGAGGACAGATAGAGCTTTCTTTTGGTGGTATTTTTTATTTATATATATATTTTTTGCACTTATTGTTATTGCTATTATATAGGGGGATAACAATCCCCCTATATAATAGCAAAGGCACACTGACAGGTCCTCTTTATGGAGACATTAGGGGTCTCTAGGACCCCTGTCACCTGTGGACCCCAAAAGAAGCTGATGAAGCAGAGATCTGCTTCATCAGCTTCTTTTCTCTGGCTATAGCAGCCAGATGACTGACAGGTGAATGCGGAAGTGATGTAATACACATCACTTCTGCATTCACAGCCCGGAGGGAGATCAGCAAGGAGCTGATCTCCCGTCCTCCTCCTCCTGACGCCCTCCGAGGGGGGAGGGGGGGGGCGAAAAAACGAGCACATATAGACGATCGGCGACCTATGTAGCCGCCGATCGTCTATATGTGAAACACCCGGTAACGGGTGTTTGCATTGGTCAGGTCTTTTCTGCCCGTGCGTGCCCGCTAGGGGGCGCGCGCGAGCAGAAAAAAAATGCCGTCTGGGGACGGCAACCCGCCAATGCAGCAGTGCCGTCTGTCCGTTTTTTTACAACGGGCGGACGGCAAGTGGTTAAATGATGCCTCTTAATCCGATCATCTTCTTCCTTACGGTCGTTTTTAGCTGTCCCTCCAGCGCGGGTCTCCGATCCAGCGCCGATTCCTCTGTCCTCTTCTTCGCTCATGTGCCACGGAGTCTGTGTGGGTACACGCTGCTCCATATACTTACCTTGTGTCTCTCTTCGTCTCCCGGCCAAACATATAAACTGCGCATGCGCCCTCTCGAGACATTTTCAGATGTTTGGACGGGAGCTCGCAGCGAAGACACAGGTAAGTTTAAACCTGTTTCAAAAGTTTAAAAAAAAAAGGTTTTGCATATATCTACTACTTGCTATATGTAAAAGAAAAGTGAGGGTTTAATAACCCTTTAAGGTGTTAAAGTATATATGTCAAAGAGATTCACTTGATGGAACAGATCTTAAAGTATATCTAAACCCAAGAACAAAAATGTATTATATTGTAGCTTATTAGTCCTTAGATGTTGTAGCTGCAAAAGTTTTCTTTCTTCCTGGCTACATATATTTACTGCAAGTACAAACATTTTTATCTGATGTCCTTGTATTTTAACTGCATTTTGAATCTCAGACAATGTTATGAGCATTCAATTTATGCTCTGTGAACTACACAAGCCCTCCTCTCTATGTAATGAAGAAGAGGAGAGGGGGAGTGTATGTAGTGCAAATCAGGAGAGCAACCTAGGGTGACAATGCTGCTCCTTCATAGATACAGTAAGGTAAGCGTTGCTGCTCTAGGACAAGAAATGCTTTACTGGCAAGAGCACCAAGTGAAAATAAAGGGGGAAAAAAAACTTAACAAATAAACTAATGCAGCCACCACATCGAAAGACTAATAAGTTGCACTATATTACATTTTTGTTTTTGGATTGAGATATTCTTTAACAATGTAACACAATATTGTTTAAAAAAGATTTAGTATGCATATATTTATAGTTTATAGAGTATGTGTACATGGGGGTATCCATGCTTGGGCATTACACCTGGCTCTGCTTACTGCTCTGAAGTGCTGCAGAGGGGTTGTGCTTTATTGCTTCTCCTCACAATTAAAGGAGAACTATGGGGTTAAGTCTTTTCCCCATAGTTCTCCTTAGGGTAACGGGAGGACACAAACTAGCGTCCCCCGTCACCCAAGGCTCAGTATACTGAGACGGCGCAGTATACCGCGAGCAGCTGCTCACGGTATACTGAGACGCCGCAGCTGAAGCGGATCCTGACAATTGTGCCGGGATCCGCCCAGCTGCGTGACTGACAGCTGGCTCTGCCTTACTAGTGGATGATGGATCATGAGGAAAGGGGGGGGGAACTGCTAAGTCTAAAACCATGATCGGGAATTTAAAGTGAAGAAACCAATTCCAGACCTTCATTCAACCCTGGGGGGCACAACTACAACAAATGGCGGGATGGGGGGAAAAAGTATGGGAAGATCCGGTCCAGGCAACTATACTTTCGGTATTCTCTAGATACTCTATTATAGCACAGTTAGAAGCAGGTATTATTTCCACACGGTCGGTATATTGAACATTTTCCTTGATGGCCAGGGTATGGAAAGTTATGAAGGAGGTCGTGGGATATGAGGGGTGTACTTCCCATACACCTATCTGGTACAATCTGGAATTGATAGAGTTGGCCAAGCAGACAGACTTTGATACCTGGATGGATAAAGGTTTACAATATATTAAACAATTCATGGAAGGTGATGACCTGAAGACATTTCGAACGTTGAGGGAAGAGTTCGGTATCCCCAATTCTCATTTTTTTTAATTCTTGCAATTACGACATGCCTTAGAGGCTCAGGGCCGAATATGTCCGTTCAGCCTTATGAATACCCCGCTTATACCATTCATACCCCATTATGAATGGTACATATAGTAGCAAAATCTAACTATAAAAAAGGGTTTATATCTAGAGTATATGATATTTTAATAAGGGCCTGGGCCAAAGATAGGACGCTGTCGTGTAGGCGAGGATGGGAGGACGATCTGGGCCCGCTCTCAGATGAAGAATGGTCAGCCATATTGGCAAATATCCCTAGATCATCTCTCTCGCCTACCCAGTGCCTTACTCAGTTATTTATAGTTCATAGAGTCTATTTTACCCCTCAGAAACATTTTAGATGGGGTAGACGAGATACAGCGGAATGCCCTCTATGTAAAGGTACTAATGCCAACCTGATCCATATGTTATGGAGATGTCCCAAATTATTTAGGTACTGGGAAGATATTATTAGATTGATTAACCAAGTGTTTGATATCTCACTGGAGGTGGATCCCAGGCTGTGTTTACTGAATTGTGAGGAGGGGACAGGAACAGGGGATTGGTGACATTAAAATAAGATTACTGGGCATAGCAAGGAAATTGATTGCCTTCAGATGGTTGTCTTCCCGGCCACCTACATTAGAGGAGTGGTGTACTCAGGTCAACCAAATATTATTGAAAGAAAGAATGATCTTTATACATAGAGGATGTTTGGGGAAATTCTGGAAGATATGGTCCCCATGGCTCTCTATGCCTGGTTTAGCTCCACTTAGATCACTTAACCCACTTATAGTATAAGTTAATACTCACTTAAATAAAAGATTTGATTTAAAAGTGATGGTAAGGGGGGAAAAACACATTATAAATAAATAAACAAATGAAATACACTAAAAATATTAGAGGAAGGGGGTAATAATGATTAAAGGGTGGATAAGTAATAGAAATATGCACTATAAATATATATATAAATTATACACTATAAATATGTGGTAGGGGGTTCCTTGTTTAGATATAATATGTGAAAATGTTGTTATATATTTTGAGTAAATACCTGAATAATACACAAAATTAATATGAAACACTAAATATAGAGGTGGAATCGAGGGGGTGTGATATAACAAATAAAGGGAGGACAAGTAACAGAAATATGTATTTTACATAATATGGGAGTAAACACCTAAATAATATACAAAATTAATTAATATGAAGCACTAAATACGGAGGTAGAAAATATCACGATATAAATGTATAAATGGGGACGGTAAAGGAAGTTAAATAGGTTATGTGGGAAGCCAATTTAAGATTTGGCATATATAATATGAAGACCGTTCAGGGTTGACCATGAAATGTAAATGTTAAAATATGGACTAAATTGCGAAAATAGCAGTGTCTTAAATGTGAGTTGTATGTATGTATGTGGATGTATAATCATGTTGTTGTAAATTACACTATTAATTATGTGGTTGTAAATTATTATTGTTGATTGTCGTAAAACATTTTTTTTTGAATAAAGAGGATTTAAAATTTTTTTTTTTAAATGCCTGATTCTAATGAGGCTAAATGTGGCCCGCCCACTCCCCATTCGGATACCTCCCATCCACTCTATCGAGCGGCATCCAATCAGGGGCTTTTGTTTCCCTTTATAATTCAAGTGGGGACGAGACTGGGGCTATGTCCTGACGAACGGGGCGTGCCCCGGAAACGCGTCGACACTCTTGCACATCGATCTGCACATAGGACGCATCTGACAGACTGCTACTAATCCGGTTCTGTCTCCACACTGTTCTTAATGCTTGTGTATTTCCATCCTTGTGAGTATCCATTCACTTATCTATCCTCATTTTACGCGAAAAATAAAAACTGATCTGCACTAGGAAAAGGCGCCCCTCTCTTGTTTTGTCTTACAGTGTCTTCAGTCTCCCTGACTGCATTGGGGCTGCCTCCTGCATAGATGCCAATATATTAACTCTGTCTAAAAGACTATGTATGACAACCTCTGGCGCTCCTTGATTTATTACTTCTGAAAATAAACAGCTGTCCAGAGTGTTGTACATATACACGATCACTAGACATGTGAGTCTGTCTGTGTTCCAAGCATTGTTGGATGTGCCTTTAAGAATTTATTATCTTAAAGGGTTATTAAACCCTCACTTTTTTATGCATATATCTATGGCTAGCAAGCAGTAGATATATGCAAAATTATTTTTAAAAAAACTTTTTGAAAAGGCTAATACTTACCTGTGTCTACGCCGCACGCTCCCGTCCGAACATCTGAAAATATGTTGGATAAAGGATTTCGGGGCAGGCGCATGCGCAGTTTAGATGTTCGGCCGGAAGACGAGAAGAGACACAAGGTAAGTATATTGAGCAGCGTGCACCCG